TCTTGGATTAAACTCAAGCAGACACTTGTTCCATTATTCTTGGATTAAACTCAAGCAGACACTTGTTCCATTATTCTTGGATTAAACTCAGGCGGACACTTGTTCCATTATTCTTGGATTAAACTTAAGCAGACACTTGTTCCATTATTCTTGGCCTCTTGAGTTGTCCTACGAGTCTATCCCTGCTGGCAATTGTTTTTAGTCTCTTTACATCATATGTAAAAGCCACATAATCTGTACAGTCACATCTGTAAACAGAGCTACACATGTCGAGATTCACTCTGACAAATCATTGACCTAGATCATAAACAGCAGTGGTCCTAACACTTTGGGTTTCTGAATTTGGGCACCCTGGCCCATCCTGTTGGGCCCTTTTCCCCCAATTTGTCACTCTGTTTTTCCACTGGAAGCAGTTATCCCCGACCTGCTGTTTTTAGTTAACAGTGGGCTGCCCGGAAAAAATTAAAATTAAGTAGTTTATTGGGTTTTGTAGCGCTTTTGTTATATGTAAAAATGGAAAAAAGTGTTTCCTGAGTGGGCTGTCTCACGGGAAATTTTTATCACCATTGGGGTTATGCCCTTAAAAAATTTTATTTTTTTCATAGGTTTCCCCTGTAATAAAACTAATTATTCAATTTAATTCCCAACCCCTTTTTTTTGCTTGAAAGGGGGGGAAAAAACGGGTTTAGCCCTTTCCCGGGTTTTTTTATTCCCTCTAACTCCCCGTCGAATTTTTAAAAAATGCGCAACAGTTCTGCACTGTCAGGATGAAGCCGCAAAACCCCAACCTTTAGTTTGGGAGAAGCCCCCCCGGGGAGGGGGGGGGGGAAACCCCTGGGGAAAGGACTCCCGTAAAACCCCCAAATTGCTCGTCCAGGGCCCCTGCGGGAGTCTTTAGATCTGCCGGTCTGTATCTGAATTAAAAGGGTTTGGAAACCCCGTATCAAAAAACTTAAAACCCCCTTTTTTTTCCCTTTTTTTCTCTGGCTTTTCCCCATATAGTTTGATTTCATTTTTTTTTTTTTATGTTTGACTCTTCTGTTTTTCAGATAGTTTTCTGTCCCCCACTTTTGTTGTATAGCTAAACTGAGTATATAGTACCACCTTTTGTTTTTCCCAAAACGAACCCCCTTTTCTAGGCCCCAGTGACTTTGTTTGTATGACGTCACGTGATGGCCCCATGAGTGCGTGGGACGCGCTGCATCGGCCCCAATTACCCTTAAAAAGTTTTCCCGGCAAAAAAACAGGGAGGGGGTTTTTTCTTTCCCCTTCTTTAAATCTGCTATATTAAAATGTTTTCCATCCAAAAAATGTGTTTTATTTCCAACCATTTTATCTCCTAAAAGAAACCCCCCCCCAAAATGGTGCAAACGGTTAGGGGGGTTAATGAGGGCAACAGACGGCCATTCCCATGGTAATTGACCCCCTCTGTAAGCTGAGAATTTACCAGTTCAAAATTTCATTTTTTTTTCTTTTTTAAATTTTACCCCCCCCATTTTTTTTTATCACGGATTTGCTACTCCCTCCCCAGTCTTTTTTCCCCATCAAATTTTTCACGGTAACCTTTCCTGGAAAAATTGTATCCAAATTTTGGTTTAAAAAGTGTGTGTATTTTGGGATTTTTTACCTTTTGGCCCGGGTTGGCAGGGGTTGAATTTGTGCTCCCCGGCAAGCCTTTTTCCCCTGGTCGTTTCAGGTCTACTCTTTTCCCTGCTCTAATTGCCTTTATCGTACCTCTTTCCCTTAAAAAATGTTTTTGGATCCGCCTCCCGTGTATGGGAATTCCCGCATCAAATCTCAAGAAATTTTTCCACTTCCTTTCCACTTAGGGCTGAGGGGAAAAGCTTCCAAAATTTTCCCCAAAATGTGTGTGTTGGGAAAAGGTTTGGGGTGTGGGGATGGAAACCTTTATAGGAGTTGGACCACCCTTTCCTCCCTCCCAAAGTCCCAGATGGGCCCGATGCTGTTTTTTTAAACCCAAACATCCTTTCCCCAAAAAACCTATTTGTGCCACTGTCTTCCCCTCCTTCATCTCCCACTCTGCAGGCTCATCTTTTTTTGGTTACCGAGACCTAGGCCCCCAAATCCCGGCACTGACTTTTCCCCTGGTGCCCCAAATGAGTTCGTTGTCTCTTGGCTTTACCAGTCCCATCCTTTCTTCTTAAAACTGTGTTTGAATTTTTTGGTCTGGCCCGCTTCCCCTTTGGGTCGCTTCCCCTTCCTACCACCTCTAGGCTGGAGGAAAAAACTTCCTGACCACTCTCAGGGTGGGGGAACCTTCCCCGACCCTCTCCCGGCTGGGGGGAAAACTTCCCGACCACTTCAGGGTTTGGGGGAAAATTTCCCGACCACTCCCCAGGCTGGAAAGGGAAAACTTCCTGGAACCCCTTTCAGGGGTGGGGGGGGAACCCCTTTTCCCGACCACTTCCCCGGGGCCCGGGAACACTTCCCCGACCCTCTCAGGCTGGAGGAAAAACTTCCCGACCACCTTTTAGGCTGGAGGAAACCTTTCCCGAAACCCCCTCTCAGGGTGGAGGAACACTTCCGACCCCTCTCAGGGTGGAGGAACACTTCCTGACCCCCAAATCTCAGGCTGGAGGAAAAATTCCTGGGCCACTTCAGGGTGGAGGAACCAAATTCCTGGGCCCCTCTCAGGCTTGGGGGAACACTTCCTGACCCCTCTCAGGTCCTTTTAGGAACCTTCCTGACCCCTCTCGGCTGGAGGAAAAAATTCCTGACCCCTCCCCCAGGTTTGGGGGAAACACTTCCTGAAAACCCCTCTCAGGCTTTGGGGGAAAAACTTCCCCGACCCTCTCAGGTGGAGGAACACTTTCCTGGGAAAACTCTCAGGGTGGGGAAAACTTTTCCGACCCCTCTCAGGCCCGGAGGAAACTTCCTGACCCACTCTCAGGGTGGAGGAAAAACTTTCCCGACCACTCTCAGGGGAGGAACACTTCCTGCCCTTTTAAAGGTGGAGGAAAAAAACTTCCTGACCACTTCAGGCGGAGGAACACTTCCCGACCACCCCTCGGGGGGGGGAACACTTCCGACCAATCTCAGGTTTGGGGGAACATTCCACCCCTCCCCAGGCTGGAGGAACAATTCCGACCACTTCCCCCCGGTGGAGGGGAAAAAATTCCTGACCAAATCTCAAGGGGGGGAACACTTTTCCCGACCCCCTCCCCAGGGTGGAGGAACACTTCCCGATCACTTAGGGTGGGGAACATTCCTATCACTCTCAGGCTGGAGGAACACTTCCGACCACTCTCAAAGGGTGGAGGAACACCCCCTGATCACTCTCAGGGTGGAGGAAAACTTTCCCGATCACTCTCAAGGTGGAGGAACAAATTCCTGATTTACTCTCAAAAGGCCGGGAAGGGAACCCCTTTCTGAAACCCAAATCTAAGGCGGGGGGAACACTTCCTGAAATAATTTTGCCGTTGACTTTTAATTTCCAGATGTCTTTCGTGTTCCTTTTTTTCCGAATTGTGTTTGGTGATTATAAAATATTTTAAATAAATAATAATATTAAAATATATATTTTAATTTTATAAATTTATATATAATATAATTAAAATATTTTTATATATAAATATAATATAAGTCGTCCGAAAATGTAAAACTGGTCAATTTTGCAAGAATCATTTAAAATTAAGTCCTTTCTAAAAATTTCCTTTTCGTTTAAAGATATTTTTTTTTTATTTAAAGTTAATTTAAAAAAAATTTTTTAAACTTGCTCCAAAAAGAATCTTAAAAAATTTCCAACCTTTTTTTTAACAAGAACAATTTTTTTAGCCTAAACCCCAAATAAAAAAATATTTTTTGATTTTTTTTACAGTAATTTAATACTAAACAAACCAGGAAATATTTTTTTTTTTCCCTTTGGTTTTTGATTGTTTTTGGGGAAATTATTGCTTTTCACAAAATTTTCCCTTTCCTATAAGGCAAGATGAACGTTACTATTTAACCAAAATCGCAAGTTCTGCCTATTCCCGGGACGACATATATATATGGGGTGCCGAATAGGCAACAAAAAACCCCCCCCCCCCCCCCCCCCCCCAAACCTTTTTAAACCAAAACCCCCTTTCCCCCCCAGTTTTTTATCTGACGCTGAAAATTTCTTAAAACTGTAACCCGGGGAAGTCATGTTTTTAAAATTTGTGTAAAAAGTTTGTCACAAAAGTCGGGTCTGGGGGTCAGTGTGACCCTCTTTTTACAAATATTGGGGGATGTTGTGATCATTTTTCCCTCCCCTTTTGATTACCTTTTTTAATAGTGGATATAGGTAGTATAAAAATCTGCATAGGGAAAGTTATAAAAACCCCTAAAGGGTTGCCCCTTGATTTTCTTGGGGTAAAATCATTTCGTATTTAGAAGGGAAAAAAGATTTGAAGGGGGCCTGTACCCCGGACCATCCTCGGCGTACCGGTCCATCTGGGTCTGACTTGGGACCTCTCCTGGGTCCCCTGGTTTCTGTGCCCCCGGGCCATTTCCCCCGGCCCAAAGGGGACTGTAACCCGGATATCCCCTTTGGGACAGTGACCTGGCCCTCTCCCGGCACAGTGACCTGGGCCATCGTCTATCTGGTACGTGACCCCGTAAAACCCCTTTTTTTTTCTAGCTTTGACCATTTTACCCATGAAGGTTTTCCTAATTTTTATCCAAGGAAGGGGGAAAAGTATTCTATTTTCTCCAAGTGTTAATTTTAGTCTGATGTTAACTATTCTGTTATTATTAATTCTTCTCTGATGTTAACTGCCTCTGTTAAGTTTCCTCTCTCATATTAAGTGGCATCTAATGTTAATTTCGTCTAGTGTTTGTTTTGGGAAAGGTTGGTTTTGATAAGGACCTGCTTTGTATGGGCCAGTAGGCCTTCTGCAGTGTTCTTCCATTTTTGTTTATTTAGCTTTGTCTTAATTCCCCCATTGATGTTAAAGTTAACCTTGATGCATGTTAATTGCCATCTCTTGAGTGTTAAATGTTTTACGACCATCTTTCAGCATCTGAACAACGACCACATCCACGCCAACAAGAAGTCGTTCGTGTGTCGTTGGAAGGACTGCTCGCGTGAGGAGAAGCCCTTCAAGGCTCAGTATATGTTGGTCGTGCACATGAGACGACACACGGGGGAGAAGCCACACAAGTGCACGGTAAGTAGGTGCTGGGTGGTGCACATGAGACGACACACGGGGAAGTCACATGAGTGCACTGTAAGTAGGTGCTGAATTAGACACACGTGCATCTGTGATGAATGGTTTGAAAAACCGATAAGTTGAAGATTAAGACACTTATGCAACATATGGGAATCTTTATTCAGGAAACGTTTCGCCACACAGTGGCTTCATCAGTCCTTTCTACTTTGTATTGGACTGATGAAGCCACTGTGTGGCGAAACGTTTCCTGAATAAAGATTCCCATATGTTGCATAAGTGTCTCAATCTTCAACATGTGCATCACTTGGGTATCTTTATTGTGGGAACGTTTCGCCACACATTGACTTCATCAGTCCTATACAAAGAAGAATAGTGAAGATCAGGAATCGTTTGAGGTAATCAGTCCCTCAGCCTGGAGTCGATGTAATCATCAGTCCATCAGTCTTAGTAAGATTGATGGACTGATTACATCGACGCCAGGCTGAGGAACTGACTACCACAAACTTCCGATAGGTAAGTATCGGCTAATTTTAAGGGTATCGGTATAGTTTTAAAGCTGAGAATCGGTATCAGTAAAAAAAAAACTTTGGTATCGTCTAGGTCACTAGCGAGTGCGGTGGGTGTTGCAGATGTAACATGGCTGTTCTTCTCTCCGCAGTTCGAGGGTTGCTACAAGGCTTACTCCCGCCTGGAGAACCTCAAGACCCACCTGCGGTCTCACACAGGGGAGAAGCCGTACATGTGTGAGTTCCCTGGGTGCACCAAGGCCTTCTCCAACGCCTCTGATAGAGCCAAGCACCAGAACCGCACGCACTCCAACGAGGTAAGTCTCCAAGTTGTGGAAGGGGTGGGCACCGTTCAACCTAGTTGAATGGCCTGTGGTCACAGGCGTCTGGGCTTCCCTTCCCAAGTGAATATTCCAGTAAAACGATACCAAATATGATTAAGTGAAACAAACTCCCGGGTCCCAATCATATGTAGCATCTTGCCTAGAAGGGGAGTAGGAAATGAATGGTTGTCTAGGGCAATTGGTGTAAATTGCTGGCTAGACAGATACTGCAAGGAACTTGCAATCCCATTCATTGACAACTGGAACAACTTTTATAGCTCTTGTTCTTTTTATTTCTTCTATTGTCCATGGGGAAGTGGAAAAGAATCTTTCCTCCGTAAGCCATGCGTGTCGTATGAGGCGACTAAAATGCCGGGAGCAATGGGCTAGTAACCCCTTCTCCTGTATACATTTACTAAAAAAGAGAAGAAGAAAAACTTTATAAAACTGGGTTGCTTAAATGTGCGTGGATGTAGTGCGGATGACAAGAAACAGATGATTTGCTGATGTTATGAATGAAAAGAAGTTGGATGTCCTGGCCCTAAGCGAAACAAAGCTGAAGGGGGTAGGAGAGTTTCAGTGGGGGAAATAAATGGGATTAAATCTGGAGTATCTGAGAGAGTTAGAGCAAAGGAAGGGGTAGCAGTAATGTTAAATGATCAGTTATGGAAGGAGAAAAGAGAATATGAATGTGTAAATTCAAGAATTATGTGGATTAAAGTAAAGGTTGGATGCGAGAAGTGGGTCATAATAAGCGTGTATGCACCTGGGGAAAGAGGAATGCAGAGGAGAGAGAGAGATTTTGGGAGATGTTAAGTGAATGTATAGGAGCCTTTGAACCAAATGAGAGAGTAATTGTGGTAGGGGACCTGAATGCTAAAGTAGGAGAAACTTTTAGAGAGGGTGTGGTAGGTAAGTTTGGGGTGCCAGGTGTAAATGATAATGGGAGCCCTTTGATTGAACTTTGTATAGAAAGGGGTTTAGTTATAGGTAATACATATTTTAAGAAAAAGAGGATAAATAAGTATACACGATATGATGTAGGGCGAAATGACAGTAGTTTGTTGGATTATGTATTGGTAGATAAAAGACTGTTGAGTAGACTTCAGGATGTACAATGTTTATAGAGGGGCCACAGATATATCAATCACTTTCTAGTTGTAGCTACACTGAGAGTAAAAGGTAGATGGGATACAAGGAGAATAGAAGCATCAGGGAAGAGAGAGGTGAAGGGTTTTAAATAAACTAAAAGAGGAGGCAGTTAGGGTAAGATATAAACAGCTATTGGAGGATAGATGGGCTAATGAGAGCATAGGCAATGGGTCGAAGAGTATGGGCTAGGTTTAAAAATGTAGTGTTAGAGTGTTCAGCAGAAGTTTGTGGTTACAGGAAAGTGGGGTGCAGGAGGGAAAGAGGAGCGATTGGTGGAATGATGATGTAAAGAGAGTAGTAAGGGAGAAAAAGTTAGCATATGAGAAGTTTTTACAAAGTAGAAGTGATGCAAGGAGGGAAGAGTAATATGGAGAAAAAGAGAGAAGTTAAGAGAGTGGTGAAGCAATGTAAAAAGAGAGCAAATGAGAGAGTGGGTGAGATGTTATCAACAAATTTTGTTGAAAATAAGAAAAAGTTTTGGAGTGAGATTAACAAGTTAAGAAAGCCTAGAGAACAAATGGATTTGTCAGTTAAAAATAGGAGAGGAGAGTTATTAAATGGAGAGTTAGAGGTATTGGGGAAAATGGAGGGAATATTTTGAGGAATTGTTAAATGTTGATGAAGATAGGGAAGCTGTGATTTCGTGTATAGGGCAAGGAGGAATAACATCTTGTAGGAGTGAGGAAGAGCCAGTTGTGAGTGTGGGGGAAGTTCGTGAGGCAGTAGGTAAAATGAAAGGGGGTAAGGCAGCCGGGAATTAAATGGGATAAAGATAGAAAGTTAAAAGCAGGTGGGGATATAGTCTTGGAGTGGTTGGTGAAATTTTATTAATAAATGTATGGAAGAGGGTAAGGTACCTAGGGATTGGCAGAGAGCATGCATATTTTTCCTTGTATAAAGCAAAGGGGATAAAAGAGAGTGCAAAAATTATAGGGGGTTTAAGTCTGTTGATGTACCTGGTAAGGTGAAATGGAAAGAGTTATAATTGAAAGAATTAAGAGTAAGACGGAAAATAGGATAGCAGATGAACAAGGAGGCTTTAGGAAAGGTAGGGGGTGTGTGGACCAGTGTTTACAGTGAAACATATAAGGAACAGTATTTAGATAAGGCTAAAGAGGTCTTTGTGGCTTTTAAATGGATTTGGAAAAGGCGTATGACAGGGTGGATAGGGGGGCAATGGTGGCAGATGTTGCAAGTGTATGGTGTAGGGGGTAGGTTACTGAAAGCAGTGAAGTTTTTTTACGAGGATATGAGGCTCAAGTTAGAGTATGTGGGAAAGAGGAAATTTTTCCCAGAAAAGTAGGCCTTAACAAGGATGTGTGATGTCACCAAAGGTTGTTAATATATTTAAAGATGGGGTTTTAAGAGAAATAAATCAGGTCTTGGCAAGAGGCGTGGAGTTAAAAGATAAAGAATCACACACAAAGTGGGAGTTGTCACAGCTGCTCTTTGCTGATGACACTGTGCTCTTTGGGGGAAATTTTGAAGAGAAGTTGCAGAGATTGGTGGATGAATTTTTGGGAGGGGGGCAAAAGAAGAAAAATTAAAGGTGAATACAGGAAAGAAGTAAGGTTTATGAGGATAACAAAAAGATTAGGTGATGAAAGATTGAATATCAGATTGGAGGGAGAGAGTAGGAGGAGGTGAACGTATTTAGAAAATTTGGGAGTGGAAAGTGTCGGCGGATGGGTCTATGAAGGATGAGGTGAATCATAGAATTGATGAGGGAAAAAGAGTGATGGTGCACTTAGGAGTCTGTGGAGACAAAGAACTTTGTCCTTGGGGGCAAAGAGGGGAATGTATGAGAGTATAGTTTTTACCAACGCTCTTATATGGGTGTGAAGCGTGGTGTGATGAATGTTGCAGCGAGGAGAAGCTGGAGGCAGTGGAGATGTCATGTCTGAGGCAATGTGTGGTGTGAATATAATGCAGAGAATTCGTAGTTTGGAAGTTAGGAGGAGGTGCGGATTACCAAAACTGTTGTCCAGAGGGCTGAGGAAGGGTTGTTGAGGTGGTTCGGACATGTAGAGAGAATGGAGCGAAACAGAATGACTTCAAGAGTGTATCAGTCTGTAGTGGAAGGAAGGCGGGGTAGGGTCGGCCTAGGAAGGGTTGGAGGGAGGGGGTAAAGGAGGTTTTGTGTGCGAGGGGCTTGGACTTCCAGCAGGCATGCGTGAGCGTTTTGATAGGATTGAATGGAGACAAATGGTTTTTAATACTTGACGTGCTGTTGGAGGTGTGAGCAAAGAACATTTATGAAGGATTCAGGGAAACCGGCAGGCCGGACTTGAGTCCTGGAGATGGGAAGTACAGTGCCTGCACTCTGAAGGAGGGGTGTTAATGTTGCAGTTTAAAAACTGTAGTGTAAAGCACCCTTCTGGCAAGACAGTGATGGAGTGAATGATGGTGAAAGTTTTTCTTTTTCGGGCCACCCTGCCTTGGTGGGAATCGGCCAGTGTGATAATAAAAAAAAAAATAAATAAATGATATGTATGCAAGGGGTGGGGTACATCTCTCTGGGGCTGGGGTGGTAGCACTTGCAAACTCATTTGAGAAGGCCATTGGTGAAATGCCTATGATTTTAAACTGATAGAAGATAGAGGTATGGGTGTGTGTGGAAAACAAGCAGGTTGCAACACTAGGGTTGGAAACAGTAAATGTATAAAAGGCATTCAGCATGAAGTTATAAATAAAGACAATAGATCAGGTCAGCAAACAAAGGGGGACAGCAGAGGACAGCAAGGGACTAGCTACCTTAAGGTTTACTATACTAATAGCAGGAGTGTAAGAAATAAGATAGATGAGCAAAGATTAATTGCAAGTGCAGGAAACATAGATATTATTGCTATAACAGAGACCTGGCTCAATCTGAAAGATAGAGAGATGCCTTCTGAATGTCACATACAAGGCTATAAATTATTCCACACTGACAGGGTCAACAGGAAAGGTGGTGGAGTAGCGATGTATGTCAGAGACAATTTAAATTGTTGTGTTAGACAAGATATAAAAGTAGAAGCGTCAGCCACTGAATCTGTTTGGTTACAGCTTCTCGAGGGCCGAGAAAAACTAATTTTGGGTGTGATTTACAGGGCATCTACATACGAAAATGTTGTGCTAATGGGAGATTTCAACTATAGACAGATTGACTGGAGCAATTTGACAGGAAATTTAGTCAGGTGACTTTCTTGATACGATCCAGGATTTTTTTTAAAAAAGTTTTTGACAGAGCCAACTAGGGGAAATAACCTCCTTGACTTAGTTCTTGCCAGTAGGGAAACACTAATTAATAATCTTGAGGTTAATGATGAGCTTGGGGAAAGTGATCACAAATCACTCAGTTTTAATATATCATGGAATTCCTTTAATAATGGCAATCAAGTCTCCGTCCCTGACTTTCGCTTGGCTGATTTCATAGGACTGAAAAATTACTTAAGTGGGCTGAACTGGAATGACCTGACTAAGGCAGTAGTTGGTGATGGTTGCCGATAATGATGCTTCCAGGGCAATAGTTCTAGCTGCTCAGTCAAAGTAAATGTCCAAATAGTGAAATCAGATCAAACAAAAATGATCCTAAATGTATGAGCAATAGATTAAAAAATATCCTGAATTGGTCAAAAGAGAGGGCCTATATAGGCAAATCAAAAGAGGAGAGGGGCAATTAAGAAATCGAATATATTCATTTAAAGAGAGAAATAAAAAAGGGAATTAGAAAAAGCAAAAAGAGATCAGAGGTTAAAGTTGCAAGGAAATCGAAGACTAACCCAAAAGGATTCTTTCGTATATAGAAGTAAGATTAGGGACAAGATAGGCCCACTCAAAATTCCTCGGTCCGCTCATGAGCC